TGTTTAGAGGATGAGGGTATGAAATGTATTACGGAAACACCTTTCCTTTGATCTGTCTTTTCATCAGCAATTCTGACTGTGTTTCTGATTGACCAGTAGGTTGGAAAGTAAGAAATTAATAGCAATTTGCTTAGTGTCATTAGATCAAAACAGTTGAAATTCTTGTATGTGCCAGTTGGTGGATTTAAGATTTTTTTGAATTAATCTTTATTGAAAGCACATCAACATTTCAGTGGATCGTGATTTGATATAGATAAAATATCATACAACTTAAAAATTCTAATTGTAGCCCCCCCTTTTAAAAACTTTTGGCAGTGAGGGCAGCTTCTCTTATATAGATGGGAGATCTAGAAAATTGCTAAAAGTTAAATTTTCAGGTGATTAAAGCCAACCTGTTTTAGTATATTTGAAACCCTCGCCCCCCCATGACGAAAGGCCTCAGTAACTTATTTTCCTGTTCAATCTAAAAGGTGTCACACAGCATGGCTGACTCGGAGCACAGACTTTCACATCCCCGTGGCTTTATCTTTGGATGGTAGCAGAATGGCATGGGGGCTACCTCTGACTTCCTTTGACCTCACAAGGGGGAAGGAGACTCAGATTCAGCATCAGCTCAAAGCTGATTCCTTCAAAGGGGCGGTCTCCACCCCCCAACCTCTTCAACAATTCTGACATCAACCATCCCTTACAAGGTGCCCTCTCGTTTTTTCTGCTGTGTTCCATAACTCATTGTAATGCCCACAGAGAACTCTTTGACAATACTCACAATTATGGGCTTTTAAAGGGAAGTTGCAATTTAGGATTAGGAAGGCTCAGGATACAGTTCTTTGGGCCAGGGTCATCTCCTTTCAGCCCTGTCCACAGGTACATCTTTCTGGCCCTTAGCCTCTCTGCCACACAACCCCCTGGTATCTGCTCTAATCAGGCAGTGTTACTGAGTTCTTTTAACATCACCAAGAGATGCCCCAAAGGTAAGGTGACCAGACATCCCGCTTTTGGCAGGACAGTCCCGATTTTCAACAATTTTTCCCGCGTCCTGCGGCGTTGTAAAAAAATCCTCATTTTTGGAAAGAATGCACAACAAGCTAGGGTATATGGTTTTCGGCTGCCATGTGGCTATTTCGCCAGGATATGAGTTTTATCAGTGGTGTCCCGCTTTACCAATGTTAAAATCTGGTCACCTTACCCAAAGGACACTTCACAAGCAGTGCCCTAAATGTACACAGTTGTGGGTCAGTGAGCGCAGATCCCCAATTAAGTGCCTGGAAGCAGCTCACTCCACAGTGATCCTTCCACCCTGAGGCAGTTAGCTGTGTTTGCACTGTAGGAGGTTGGAATCCACTACTCAGTCTTTGGCTCTTGTGACTGCTGCCTCTGTTTCTCCACCGTCTCTCATATGACAGCCCTCTGTCTCCTGGGTCCGGAAAGTTCAGTGTAGGGATCTTGGGGTGCAAAGGTCACATTCCATTTCTAGCTCTTCTCTTTCTTTTTCTTCTCCTCCTCCTCCTTCTTTTAAATAGTTTCATTGGCATGTAACTTACATATCATACAATTCGATAGTTCAATCACATAAGACAAGTTGTAGGATCATCATCACAATCAGTTTTAGAACATTCCGTTGTTTCTTGTGCTCGTCGTTATTAGCTCCCCAT